AAGTCACAGCATTTTTAATCAGAGCATTAACAATAAGAAGACAGATACTACTTTGGATGAAATTTTTTGAGTCATTATGGGACTATCAATTTGTATTTTTCCCTCCACTTTCCAATCAATCCACCTCTCTAATCATCTCCTCAAACCTCATCTCGTACTGAACTAATCTTTTCCGTTTTAGTATCCTCTCATCGGATTGAGAGAAATTACTCTTGCCACACAATGCCCTATAATAGTAATCTTTACAATAAAAACATGATCTACTGTAAGTGCATAGGATGGCTGAATCACACACATCGACTGCAAAAACTTAATCCTTTGATCCTATTTTTACGATTCACAATAGTTTTAAATTTTGTGCACTCATCACAAAAGCGATTACCGCTACGAGATGTTGCTACTGTGAAAGGGCCACTTTACTGTCTGTTTTTGCCTTGTTAAATTTGAGTGCCACGTTTCATCAATGAATTTAGATCCAGTAATATTATAAGCTGCTTCCCTTATACCTATCAATTCGTGAATCTCTTCTCTCGTTATGTCCATGTTCCAATTCTCGCTCAACGCTTAATTGCAGCAACTTAACCCTCAGCGGTTGAGTACCATGACCGACGGCTCTGGGGGTATTCACTCGTGTTCGCCCCGAACTCTGACTGATCCTTACTTCGACAAGGCCCAATAATATTTTCGCCCAGTCTAATGCAGCTAAGAAGTTCATCAGATCTTCTTTTCTAACATACTCTTCGTACAAACGTTCTTCGCTTTCCTCTCTCTGCTTCCGGCGCACCTCTTATTATAGCAATCCAATCGTGGTTCCATTTGTTCAATTGTTGAATAGCAACTTTCAAGTACTTTTTACCAACTGAAGTCCCGCAATCAACCTTCCGCATTCTGTTCTTTCCCTTGGAACATCTGTGCTCTTGTCCGTCGTCGTGAAGATAGAGTCACCTTTTTGAATGACATGGATAGTGAGAGAGAATTTTCTTTAAAAATAATCACTTTTTTGGCTTTTTGTAAACTGTACAAATTACGCTTACTAATACTTATCACCGTCGTTATCGGCTCGTGGCACCAAAGATCAAATAGGGGATATGAAGTAGAACTTATCTCTCCGCAACAGTACCTTATTTAAAAGTATATTTCTTAAATAAGCTATACCAAACCGCTGTTCCTACAGCATTTCTACTCTAGATGGTACGGAAAGAATAGTTTATTTAGATCTTGAGACAAGAGAATGAAACTTTGTAATGATAAAGAAAAACAAGGAACCAAGGAAACCTGAACTATTTAGGAATCAACTAAAAATTGTAGGAAGCACAGAGAAAAGTTACAATTTATAAATCAAAAAAACGAACCAACATAAATCAGAAGAGATTAATAAATCAATATACTGAACCAACAGAAATGCGTAAAGATAAAAATTTCTAAATTGAAGACACAGAAGAGACATTAATAAGACAATTTAATACAGGAGGTATGAGGAAAATCCCTCTTCAGGTCAGAAAGATGGAAAAATTGACACAGGAAGATGTATAAATAGTGGTTCTTTTTCCTCCCTATTTATACATTCACAAATGGAGGGTACACCCTTGTTTAACAAGATGTCACAGGATTGATATTTACTTATATCGGCATGGATTTTTGTGAGGTCCCTGCTAATTATGACAGATATGTAATACCTATTTAACACCTCAATGCAGTGTTGATTACATGGTGCTGTCTTATGCTAGTGTCAAACGTTGAATCATCATCTGATTGCGGTATTAACTTCAACACGACTTCAGAACCACTCTTTCATACTTTACTTAGGCAAAGCCAAAACCAAACACCCAATACCAAATGCCAGTACGAATTCGTCATTTATGCTATTACTCCCAGTCTTCTCATCTAACACTTTAGCAAAGGACACCTGCGAAGGTATCGACCAAAGTGGCACTTGTTAGGAAACGTTACAGAAAAATACAGAAACCACTAAGCCGTTTTTTGCAAGCAAGTAAGCAGCTTGGCTAAGAAGCAGTTGCAGTTGTAATTTCGTAACAATGCTTCGAGAATGCTGCTTTTTGTCCCCCTACAATGCGCAACAGAATTCCTATTTCTTTCCAACCTTGTCCATGGCAAACGCCAACATTTTTTGTAACAAATTTACCGCTCTGCCATTCAAAAAGTTTCTTTACTTTGTACAATCCTCATTATTTGTTGTCACCACTCGTCTTTTTTTCGCGTTTCTCAGTAACTTTTTTCTTTCTTGTTTACAAAAACCTCAACATGAACTACGCCTAACAAATTGTTACTCTGCTCCTTCTGAGCTAGTGTCCTCCAGTTAAGTAGATACTTTCTGAATGCCGTCAACCAGATTATCGTTCCTGCGGCAACGCTTACAGGTTGCCGTTCTGTATTTCACTGTCCACCGTGTAAAGGATTAGATGGTAGAAGATGACAGCAAGATACTGTTGGAGAGGGAAAGGCGCTTGAGAAGACATTGAAACGCAAGAATTGAATTACATTAGTGTAACAGTGAGTCTGTATATTGCAGTACTGACATTGAAGACTCCGTTATTGCTTTTCGGAAAATTTGACCAAGTGACTAGAGAAAGTGATGCGCTGTATCGCACAACTTCTACTCGCGTTATACTTCCAAAAATTTTTAGCTTGGTGAGATGCAGGCAACAGAAGCCATAATTTTTTGCCACGAAATCGATCAAAAAATATCAGGAATAACGTTGCAGGCGAATTGAGCGAAGCGGCAAGCAGAGATTTTGCAAAGGCAAACGGATAGCACCCGTACAGTTCATATGTTACTCAGCTAACAGTTTCTGATCACAGACGACAACTTGAAACATTTGTAGCGTAGTGACGACAGCAGCCTTCAGGTAGTTGGCTTTTTTGTTATCAGTAGCAGCATCCTTTTTCTTACTATTATTGGTGACAGATCCACCGCAGTTTTTTCCGTGGCGAAGGGTAAGTTTAGCGAACGAATTGCCGTCGAATCCTCAACCATTTCGATTTCATTTTAATTAGTATACCGTATGCAGAATCGCATGTTGGTACATTTATGATTGGTGACCTGCATCCAAGGGTCTTTCTTTTGCATTATGGGAACTTTCTACAGTGTTTCGGAAAGGTAAATGTATCTTAGGATAGAGAAGAATTCTTTGTTGATGTTTTATTATAAGAATTTTTTGTGAGCAGCATACAACGGACTGGCTACAAGAATTCTTTTGAAATCAAGGGATTGTGAAGTTAAGCAGTAATTTGCTGTGATGTGCTTTGAACTATTCGAGAAATGCGCATACGATTTCAGCTTCTTGTTGCCTTTGTAGTATTTGAACATTGGTACAAAAGTAATTGGAAGAAAAATAGAGCCTTGTTACAGTT